ACAAACGTTTCCGCCCGAGCGAATATTATTTCGCATGCGATCAACGTCGCCTGGAAGTTAAACAAAATACCTCACGGTACTTAAATGAAATACCGCTCCTACGGACGGAATAAAGCTGACGAAATATTAGAATTTAGGAAAGTAAAATGCAAAAATATAATTCACACACGAACAATAAAGATGCATTCTCAGATAACAAGACTATCAGTTAGAGACTTTTATACCATTTCGCTTGTTTATAGTTTAGGATCTTGAAAATTCAAGTTTAAAATCGAAAAGAGATTCAAATGTCGCCGTTGATACTTTACTAGAATTTTTCCAACAACTACAGACTTCCAACTCATATATGTTGACAATAAGATTCTAATCTCTAGCCGCAATGCGCTGGAATCTTAACCCTTCGTCCTACGACATAATATTGCGGTTTATTCTGTCTGGAATTACGAATATCTTCCGTATAATAAACCTCGATTTCCGGGATAATTAATTTATTCGAGTAAAATAATATTCTTTTTTATCTCACTTTTGTTAAACACTATTAATAAAAATCTTTTTAATAGACGGAATTTTTATCATATATTTTTAGAATATTTCCGTACGTATAAAATGCTCGGTTTTAAATATTCGTATTTGTATTTCCATATTATATTGTTTGAGTTTTTATTTCACCTGATATTTCTTAAATTTCATTATTTGACGTCCCTGACGTTATAATAACCAACGAATAATGAATTTGTAGCATTTGATTGTGTGTTCGTGTATGTTTTGCAATAAAATATTCTCTTTACGATAGTTAGACGGTTGCTCGCGACGGTCAATGTCAAACTGTTTTGGTTACAACACGAGTAGCTCGTTGAGGCCGAACTGTATCCCAGGATCGAACCGGTGGTACGCCGCAGCACTTCCTGCTCGAGGTTCGCGGTTCCACCGGGAATTTCGGGTTCCTCCGCGCCCCTCCGCAGAGACCCTAGAAACGCCTCAGAGTGACCGTAGAGCGTTGGGCGAGAAGCCGGCCATATATTTTAGGGACTCAACTTTGCAGCCCAAATTGCGGCGGCGGCAGTTTAAACGCGAATTTCCTACCAACTTTGCGACTCCGTGCCGTCCGTGATAATTAATTTATAATATATAATATTCGTGGTAAAAGAGAAAGGTACATAATTACCAAAACTAACTTTGCGCCGGAATAAAGGGAGGTTTTAGATTATTTAACGTGTTAGAAAACAGTTAAGAAAGAGGATGGAAACTTAAAGCAGTTTTCTTGCTTTTCTTATTAGCGATTTATTATTTACTTTTCCATTGTTTTCTTGTCACCGGTGTAACGGCGGTATTGTCATTTAATATAAATGACTCTATTTCGCAGTTTGTTTTTGTACGATAAAGATAGTGATTGTGTACTCGAGATTCACTTAACGCGTTAATATCGCGGATAACAGCGGTGTTAATTCGCTGTAAAGTAAACGCCGATACTCGCTCGTGGCAACAGAAAATATAAGGCCGACACGCCGCGAGCCAGAATGAAATCCAGAAGGATAGAACCTAAATATTCCGCGCGCCGGCGAATATTCGCGGTTCGACGAAACTCTATCCGTCTGAATAACGCTCGACTCGATCCGAATGAACTTTTCGTGCGGAAGACGCCCGCCGGTCGGTGGAATCGCCGAGCACCAGGAAGTAACTTTCGTCCTCTCTTACGGAGAACCGCCCGGGCAAAACTACTTGCCGAGCGGAAGCAACTTGAGTCGATCGTCGCGTTTGAGAAATTCGCTCTTGTACGTACGTCTGTGATAATGTTTCGAGATTTCCGCCCACAAAGACTGCTACGAATCTCAAAGTGGTGCGCGATACGAACGTTCCGATTGTGATTCTGTTCTTTAATCTCAAACACTTCGTCAAGAACTCTTTCTTGTGTACTGGTTAAATTCTCATGTGTACAAAGTTTTACAATCGGCATCCTAATTGTTATTGTTACAATACGATAATGAATAAATAATCACGTAACACACTACAGCGAAATTATTGCGTTGATATTTTTGTGCTCTCTTTCGACCTTTGTAATGGAAGTCAAAAATAAAAAAACAGACATCAGGAGTTAAGAGGGACGATTAACAGAATAGAATTCTTAAAACACGAAAAGGGTGGAGTTGAAAACAGCCTGGTGTATGCGCGCTTGCGGGTTTTAACAGATTACTACGATGTTGCAGGCTAATCGATAACAACAGAATATGCAACATAGTAATATGCGAGTTTGCATTTGTTGCACTTCCGCTGTAGAGAATTTATTTTAAAAAGTTTGTCGAATTTATTCCCACGAAAAGTTAGCCAATATTTGCAAACGTATGCGTGTTATATTTCATGTATAAAAATAAAATTATTATTAATCATCAAGAATTAATTGTCCTTTTATCTGCATAAGATTATTACAAAAATGTGAGAAAACGATCGATAGACTTATAAATCATAAATATAAACAAAATTTCATACTAAATTTTACTCGTATTATATCGTAACAGACTAGACAAAGGAAACACCAATTTCTTAAGAAACATCGTAATCGTTGCGAGAAAGAAGCATCCTTTACAACATCGTTCACTATCATTATGTAAACGTTGTTTCCGTCAAATTTCAGGACGACCGGCGGGGATGATCGATCGCGAAAAAACAACAGGCAGACATCGATAGGGTCGGACACGTTTGTCACTCGAAGCCACGATCGATTGGCTACGACGGCATCGACGACGGCGGGCTGTTTGCGAGGGTTCGTCAAAAGCGGGTCGGTAAAAAAGGATGCGGGAACGTGAGAAAAACAACGAAGACGCGTCTGTCCGGCAGCAAAGAATTCGAAAAAGAAAAACAGAAAAGACAACACAAAAATATCGCGAAAAGAACTATAAAAATCGAACGGCGAGGCGATGGACCGATTTCTCGAACAATAAAAGGTGTCACGACTAGATGAAGCAACGGTGACCAAGCAAACTGTAAAAACGAGAAGGCAACCGGGGAATGCAATGAAAACTTCGACGAGCCGAACAATTAATCTCCTTTGTCATTTAAATCGGGGCTGATGCGTGTCACGCGGCCGTGGTCGCGTTGTCAATTGTTATTGGAACGGTTATCGATTTATTGCGAGCTCCGTGCGCCGCAGGCATCGGGAACTAAGAGACGTGAGTGGTGGCGCATTGATGATAATTGAAATTCGAGTAGTGAGGGTGACGGGATGTTTATGCAATAACGTATGAAGCGATAGGTGAGTTTGGGCTGTTGCAAGTTTAATATTGTATTCTCTCTCACCCTCGCCTTCCATTGTAGAACCTGATGCATTCTCTTTTGTGCATACCCTACCACTTCTATTTTAATCGCCTCTTTCGTACTCTCTTTTTGTACATTATTCTCTCTCGCTGGATGTTAAAGGTACGTAGCTGCTTTTTCGAGACGCAAAAGAAATTGAGGATTGTTAGATTAAATTACGATATTTATGCAATCGCGCAAAATTGACGAAAATAAAAAGTTTTTTAAATGTTTAATTTTGAAATGTCATTAACAACTTACTGGTGTTTATACTTTCAGTAATTCTATGCGATATTTGGACAAGTAGATTTTACATAAAAGAAACCTACTAAGAAATAAATTTCTACTTATTAATCCAATTATCTGACATAAATATAATAAAATGTTTGCGAGATACTCAAAGTACTAAATTGACGTTCGGTTTTTCTAGTGTAAAAACTATTCAAGTCGCATGAATTTTACACTCAAACCTTTTTACATGTCAACTATTTAAAGTGGCGCGAACAAGACGAAAAGTTTTTATTCATCCGTGTCGAAGAAGCTCGACTCACTGATGAAAAAATCAACACGGCCGACATTGCGTCGCCGGAGAGTATTGGCAAGAGTATATAACAACTCTATTTAGGAATCAAGACCCGGCAAAGTTGCAATGGTTAGACGTCGTGCCGGAAATCTAGGGAGTTATGTAAACCCGATTCCGGTGCGGGCAATCGAATACGCGACGGAACCATCCGACTTTTGAACTTTCCGGCTACGGGACTTACGAAACGCGTTACTTCGAAGTTTTCGTGCCGCGGAATCGATAGCGATTACAATAGGCCGCCTGACGTTGCTACGCGAAAACTTTACCCACGTTGCTCACCCTGCCGAGCACTTCCGGTGCTCTCGAGGACAAAATCTGGGAATTCTGACGCGACAATCTGTCTAAAGCTAAATGACAAAACCCCGTGCGATTCTTAACTTTTGTGTCGTGGTTTTCTTGTGGGAGAGCAGCCGAGACTAACAGAGTTACGATTTTGGACAGTACGTTCAAAGTTTTGATTGTGCAGATCGAACTCTATGTATAAGTTAAATGCAATGTAGAGATTTAAATATATACAGAAATATATATGTGAATTTTCGCCAGTTAACGAATATTTGTTTATCTAGTTTTGGATTTTTCTTTAATAAAAATACGTAAAAAATATTGATTTCTAGTTTTAGATATTTTATTTTATTTGTCTGCAAAATATCACATTTTTTCGAATATTTTTCGTTTATTTGTCCAATGTTTCTTTTACTAATAGTCAACGGAAAAGTAAAATAAAGTATCATATAATAGAGATTGACATTTTTTTACATTTTTATTAAAAATAAAAATTTTTTAAATGGACCAAATGTATATATAAAAATTAGTAACCGTTGATTGATAAAATAAATATTTATATTAATGTTTTGTTAATTAATGAAAATTTATATACATTTTGAGTATATTTAAAGTAATCTCTCAATTGCATTACACTACACAGTTTTAGGCTTAATATACATACTTTATCAATTAGATATTAAAAGTGTTTATCTTATACATTTAACATATTGCATTTTAAAGTAATTTATTATGCACATTATTATGTACATTACATTACATAATAATGTGAAATGCCAGGTAACTATTGCAAGAATAAATAATTAATATCTTACAAATAATAAATAATAAATGAGAAATTTCTTACCTTGCTCCGCAGATGCTCTCCGGATCTTCCTCTCTTTTCAATGATGCATCGATGTTGCTTCTTTCTCGCGAGACAATCGCACGATATTTTGTATCATATTACCCGTTTTCTCGACGCGAACTTTGTCATATCATGACAAAAGAAAAACCTGCAAAAAGTACGAAATCGCACGGAGTTACGATTTGGTGGAAACTCGCGGTGTTGAAAGCAGACAACGACGTCAGCGAGAAATAAAAAATTGCACAATTAATTTTGCGTACTATCCGACGGACAATAAACGAATTAAATGTTACAATTAAAGATATATATATACAGGATGTCCGGTAATTGCTGAATCACCTCTCGGGTGTAGGTAGAGCGAGTTAAACCGAGTAGAAAAGTCCTCTACCATTTTGCGATTTTCGCAATAATTAATGAGGAATTGATTCAAAAATATCGGCCAATTCGCGTGAGTTTCAGAGCGCGGCGAGAAGAGACCCGTGGCGGTACAGCCTACTGTTATTTGGTTACTAAGCGCGCGAAGCGTTGGAAGGAGCGCTCTACTAACGACATCGGTAACATAGGAGCGGTCCGTAACGCTAGATCCTTGCGTCCTAGCGATCACGTAACAGTGGGCTGTCTCTTCTCGCCCCGCGCTTAGACTCGCGCAAATTGGCCGATCTTTAATTAATTTCTCATTAATTATTGCGAAAATCGCAAAACAGTAAAAGACTTTTCTACTCGGTTTAACCCGCTCTACCTGCACCCGAGAGGTGATTCAGAAATTACCGGACACTCTATATATACGCTATATACGCGAAATTTTGGTGTGACTTATGAAATGCAAGGAACATTTAACAAGTTATTCCTCGTAAATATGAACAGGAGATAAATTTGAGATTAATTAAAGTTAGCTAATTTATATCGCAATTAATATTTCGTGATTCGTGATATGAAAAATTTATCGTCTCTCTTTTCACTGTACTTAAATAGTACAAAAACAACAAATCATATAATTTATTAACTTTTAACTATTCGCAATAATTTCTAATTATATATTAAACCTGACACTTGAAATTTTTAACCATTATAAATAATAAATAAATGATAAATCCACTCACCCTAAAGTTACTCCGCTGATGTGCCTCTCGAATCATCTCCTCCTCTTCCTCCTCCTCCTCCTCCTCTTCCTCTCAGTGGTATGAGAAATAAAGATATGGAATAATTACCGTAACCGTCTATTTTGTTTCGGTGCCTCCAAACATCTGCGAAGCAGAAGGTAAGAAATTTCTCAGTTATTATTTATCATTTGTAAGATATTAATTATTTATTCTTACAGCAGTTACTTGGCATTACGCATTATTATACAATGTAACGTACACAATAATGTGCATAATAATAAATTACTTCGCGTGAATGATAACAAAGTGATAGTGCGTAGACAATAGCACGCGTATACCGCGTCTTACATTACAAAAACAATCGTCGACATTGCTAGCGCCGAAATACCTTACGCGCAACTCGATGTTGTTATTGTAATTTGTGATCTACGTCGTAGCTATTATGTACGCGCGCTATTACCTCGCTACCAATACTCGCATGACGGTACTCAAACACAGAATAGATGGCAATGGAAATTGTTATTACATTTCAAATCGCGCAATTGCGACCAATATTATGCGATTATTTCCTACAAATATTTTATTCCATGCAAATATATATATATATGTATGTGTATATATTATTGATATTAATTGATATTAATTTAACTGTGTCTCACGTAGACTAACAAATTAATTTCTTTAAGAAAAATTATAATTTCGCACTAACATCCCGCGACGGCTCTCTATGCCTTTCTATTATATTAATTGATTGTTATCATTTGAGCCATTCCTTTATATGTGTTAAATTGATATTAATATTGCGATATTAGTGAGAAATTATTAATTTTTATAGAATTATTATGCATTAAATTAAAAATATATTAATACTACAGTGTCAAAATATATGTGAAAATAATATTTTAATAATTTTATTTCTGCATTGTCAGAACTTATAAAAATTTACGCGCGCGCGCACGTATTATCACTCTTTATTACAACATTTATTGTGAATTTTCATCAATTTTTAAGTCTTTCTTCTGCAAGTGCAAGGGAAAAAGATAGTGAAACGCAGGAGATACAATCGTGGCTGTAGTTGAGAGGAGAGAGTATCTGCGTCGTGGGATATCTTAAGCTCGCACATCCACCTGACGAGTACGAGTGTGCTTCATCCATATTCAGCGATCGTCGAGGAAACGGACGCAGAGAACGGATGCTTCGGTGGCTCGGAAGTGCATGGAACAGGTGAACGTTACTCGTTCGCGATACGCGCACGCTCATGCTACTCAAAGCACGTATGATCTATATTCCATTCTGTGACCCATTCGGAATGTTGTCTCTCTATGTTTTCTTTTTTTTCTTTTATCTGCTTCTACTTATCGAGCCGTTCTCTCTAACGTGCATTTTTTCACGTCACTGGTTGAGGTTTTTTCTACTTGCGCTAGATTTTCGCGTGCATTAATTCACAACTGTACATTTTCCGCCGTAAATATTGTTTGTTAAGCACATGATCGATATCCTTTTACGTAGCGAATTTATGTGAAATATCTTTTTCTTCATTAAGTTGTTGAAGATTATTTTGCTGAATTTTAATATAAAGTTTTACCAAAACGTTTTACATTCTTGGAAAATTGAATAGTACATTCAGTAATATTGCAAGAAATATCGGTGTACATATTTTTAAGTCAAAATATTTTAAGAAGAAAACAATTTTATATTCGAGGTTTGCCATAAGAAAACTCGGAATGGGTCGAGAATTTATAGACTTTTATAGGGCAGATTTGTCTTTTAGACGACAGAAATAGACGTTTCAAGTATTCATGAAATGAATGCGATCTATTTTCTATTCGGGGTTTCTTTCAGCGCGAAGTTTCTCCTTCGTTACTCGACATCTTTACCAGTGCACACATTTCACAGTGCATCTTGCTTTAATTGCCGCTATTAATTCCCTTTATCGCTACCGAAGATTTATCCGGCGATTATTCTCAAAATTGTAATAACAAGAGGAAGACTATATAAGACGATTCCGGGCATAATTACGTTATAGTACGAGCTCGTAGCCGGAAGTCTGAAATTAAGACGAACAGCTTGGAGGCAAATATTTGCGTCTCAAATACACATTCCTTTATTTATTGTAACTCTATAAATTTCTTTATGGAACAAAAAAATTATTTTATATTTATAAATTTGAAATATGGTATAGAATTTTTCGAACAAGTTTCGTTACTTATTTTTTACGCTATTGAATAGAATTGTTTTAATTCCCTGAAATTTTAATGTTTATTTATAGATGATTGTATAAGTCTTTCTTTAAATTTTTGTGATTGGAAAACTTGGATTCCAAATTTGTTTAAGAATATCATTCAACCTTCTTCGATAATGATATTATACATTCTGCAGGACCATGGTACATAAATGAAAGAAAAATCTTCGTATTGGAACCGATGGGATATAGATCGTGTCTGCTTTGAGAATGCTCGCGACATCTCAGACGACTATTCGTTCTCGCGCGACTTAGAGATATCTTCGCCTTTTCGCGTTTGTCGTTTGATCACTGAATATGGATGAGAAGTCTCGAATGTGAAGCACTCGTATGCCAGCCGCGAGCAAAAAGCAAATAAGTTTCAGGCGCGAATAGCGCGCATGATTATATCGATATTCGTGTCATCTTACGTAAAGCTCGTTATTTCTTGAATAAGATGTGGAAATTGAAATACGTCTTTCAGGATACCGTGGTGCCTAAGCACCTCATTAGACGATGTTCGTTTCAATATTCATTTATACAAGATATTTTAAATTTTTCGAATATAATATTTAACATTTAATATAAATTTAATAAAATAAATATTAAAATTAAATTCCAGAAAAAATAAAAATATTTCATAAATTTGTACAAAAAAGGAAATTTATATTAGCAAATTCTATTCTCATAGCTCATTTTATTGAGCAAATTTTCAGATTCTATATATTTGAATTTAACGCAATATTCATATATTGCGAAACTCTGTTTTCAGTATTGAAAGAAATAAACCGTTATTAATAATGGTGCACTAAATACTTTGATGACAGTGCATAGGCTTTTATTGTCATGACATAAGAATGTTAGCTCTATTTTTATGCAAAAAAAGCACAGAATTCAACATCTTATAAATATAACCTATATAATAAATATACTTTACAAGTTTAATTAATTTGTTCTATTTCTTTTAAATATTTAGCTCATTGTATGCTCTTTATTAATTGTCAAAACTTTTAGTTTTGAATTTTTACATTATATTGATTTCCTTTTTTATTGCTTGCGCTCCTCTATTTGATTCTCTTTGCACAAAATTTAAATATTAGTTATTCTGTATAAAGCGAATCGATTGACACTGTATATTTGAAATTTCTGATGTGTGAGAGGACTGATATTAACATGAACTAGTGCATTTTAGTGCAATCATATAATAATATATCATGAAATTTGCTCCATCTAAACAGACCTTCACTGCCGCGCTATTTGCATCATATTATTTGTCTTAGGGTCATATTGTAATATTCTCAATTTAACCACGTTGTATATGAATAGACAGGAGAACATAGAAATATCGATCATTGAAGCGGCTGACATAAGTGGATATTTTGTTCTCGCGAAGTTATGTTGGCGGTTTTATTGAACGAGTTGACCATGCTTACGGCTTACGTTTTTTGTATGCAATGGATTTTATCCATCACGCGAAAACCGAATAGTCAGAGTGAGCTTACACGTGTTGAGCATTGATACCTGTAGCGTAAGGTGCGATATTGTTCTCGCAAAGCTGATGCTGGACCATATCATTGGATGCTGTGCGCTTTATCTCTCTGTTATATGTAAATTCGCGCGCAGCGGACTTTATCCGTCACGCGCGCACGAACCGGACAGCCGCAGCGAGTTTACACGCGTTGTGTTGCAAGTTAGTATGTAAAGTTAAGGCATGAGATGCATTACGAGGTTAATCCGTGGTTATACGCCGGGCCAAAGCTCACCGGGGAGTTGCGCTGTCCAATCGCTTTCGATGTACCGCCACTCCGATTTGGAGTTTTGGAGAGCACGTTCGGAAACCCCCCGGGGCGATGTATAGGGATTGCCATTTCAGCGCTTCCGCTGGTAAAGCGATTGTACGTCTTTGAGCCAAACTTTTCGCGTGGTCACGTTTAATCCAGTCAATCTGCCTGTCTCTAGCACGCGACCGAAGAGAACGTACAATTTGATCATAATGCACATAATGCGAACTGTTTAATGACGGTGCGTAATTTTAATGTTACATGATGTAACGTTCGTGGTACTATTTTGCTTTGAAATATTCGTCTGTCTTTCTAACGTTATTTCGTAATTGAAAAATATCTTACGAAAATATTAAGTGTTAAAATAAGACAAGTGATATTAAAATAAAGTAAAAGAAAAATTAATTAAATAGAAATTATAAATTTTGATGCTTTGCCATTTTTTAAATAAAAATATGATATAAGTAACAGTCTTAATGATAACAATAAACTTAAAAAAAATTCTAATTTATAAAACACCATTTGGAATTTTATAAAGTACACGCCTCGATCCATATATTACTGTGCAATATTATTAGCATATTATTAGCATATTATTCTAATGCCAATAACGATCCTAAAATATACGCTTTTGAAACAATATCGGGGCGATATCGTAAAGGTGTCGTATTAAAAATCGTTTCTCTATAAATACCCCTTAATACTGAGTTTCATGGTTGCAAGCTCCTCGGGGAACGTCGCGCATACGGTTATTAACGCAAATGTGATGCAAATGTATCCGCGCCCGCTTCGAATGTGAATCTAATGACATCAGTCGCTGGAATCGACAAAATCACTTGGTACAGGCATACGCAGCTACGCGATAACTGGTTAACCTACAAATTAGTCATTTCGAGTCAATCGATATGCTGTTTTGAAACCAGACAGAAATTTTTGTTAAATATTTTAAATTCTAATACTATTAAATCAGTATAAAATTTTTTTGCAAGAAAATCTCAAATAACACTTGGTTATCAAATTTCGAGAAATGCGTAGCCGAGAGAATATTTATGAGCGGTGAATCGACTTACGCATTACGTGATTTCCGTTTCAAGTTATCTCTTTGTACAAGTATTGTCAAATTATGTATTATTTATATATGT